TACTACTACTACTACTACTACTACTACTACTACTACTACTACTACTAACCACAGAAACAGAAAGAGGCCCAGCTCGTCCAAGGTGGAGGAGAGAAAGTGCCCGGACTCTGACGGGGGTGAGAGTGACACTCATCCCTAGGCTTCGCTGGGTTTCGGGGGTCTTTCAGAGTCAATGCTGCCAGGTTGCTCGAGGGCACACTTGGAGGAAGTAAATCACCAAGAGGCTCCTGCCGAGACATGAGCACAAGCACGAGAGGAACGAGCCATGAAAAAATGATCCTCGCAGGAGAAAAAATCGCGGTGTCACCGTGGACGAAAACAGGATATCCATGAAGACCGACGAGCTTTCACTCGGGTCAACCGCAGATCCGCCCCCCCCTTTTCACGTCTCTCAACTCCCGATCTGCTCCGCTCTGCTCCGGCCCGCACGTCGCGTTCGCGCTTTCGCGGACGGTAGCGGTTTTGGGGGACGCCTCGCGTTGTTTCACGTTTGCGTGGACGCGGAGAGGGCTCCAGTGGTAGGGTGAGAGGTAGCCCTTGGCCGCATGGCAAATCCCACGATCCTTGGCCCAGCGCCTCGCTTTCGGAGGTGGAGCTGAGAGGAGAGGAGGTTGAGACAGCTGAGAGGAGGACCAACAATGAAGTGTATTGAAATTCAAAACTGAAAGAAACACTGTTTTAGGACTTTATAGGAATATGTCCAAACAGATGTTTGATGAAGTCATTTGAGATCATTTGAGCCTGAGTGTCTATTTGAGTGTCTATTTGAGTGTCTTTGAAATAGAAAAAGGGTGAAAGCATGTCAAACCTAACGACTGACTCCCACTCTAAGAGGAAAGATCAACTAAAGTAACTAAAGGCCTTGTACCTCTTCAATCGCCAGCGGACTTTGCAGGGGGCTACTTTCAGATGCTTTGAGATGCTTTGAGACAGCGCCAGATGAGGAGCAACAGAATAAGGCAGTGAGAATTTCTAAGGCAGTGATCAGAAGCAGAAAAGTGCTTCTCATTCTCATCAACAGAATCCCGGTGACGTCACCCGCCTCACCAGCAGAATCAACTGCTTGGCACGAAGGTCCCATTGAGCGCATTCCTGAGCAGATAGTGGGATCGCCCTTATGAAGAATCCGCCCAGTCGTGAGGGTCCTTGAAGGGGCAACATCGTGGGGTCAGTGCCGGTCAGTGCCAGATACCTATTAAAAAGGCCAGCGATGACCCCATGCCGAACTCCTTGTTCGGCTTCGAAAACGCGGATCCGAAGCGACCGGGCCGAAGCTCAACATGGACTTTTAAAGAAAAACTTCTACGGTAGAGCATCTATAGAACCAGACATGCCACTCATGGATCATGAGAAAAAACAATTATGGATCAGAAGAACTAGACTACCTCGCTGGTTGCCAACAATGATCATGAAGTCTCTACTGGGTATGCCTCCACTAGTCACTATCGAGTCATGGTCACGTTCCTCTGTTTCATCCTGTGTTTGATGACCAGTGAGTCATGTGGAGGTGTCAATCCTAAGCTTGGGGCAGGTGAGAAACATCTATGCAACCGGGAGATCGGGAATGACTCTGGAACGACTTGGTTCCATGGAAAACGCAAAGAAACATAAACCAGGACGCCTATATATAGAAGCGATTCATGGAAAAGAAATCTTGACATTCAAGGAGGCTTGATTTCATGTAATTCTAGGCACGCCTTTCGACGTTGCCCAGTAGCCATCCACCTATTCTTTCTCATTCCTTCTCCCACCACGCTTCACCACCCTTCACCTTCCTTCGGAACGCTCAAGCTTCACTCAGCAGCGCGGCCGCGTAGAGCGGCGTCTCCGCGTTCACAGCCAAGTCCAAGGGCACGGCCTCAGCGTCGCCGCCCGGCGCCAGCAGCGTGAGCTTCGGCTCCTCGCCTGGTGGAGGGGCCGGTGTCGGTTCGACCGGATCGTTCGATCGTGGTTCGAGGAAGAGAAAGGAGGTGCGTTTTTTGCGAGCCAGGTGAGGTGACCGTCCGTCTTCAAGGCCTTTTTGCGGAGCGTTTCGTGTAAAAAGAGCTCAAGAAAATGCAAATGAAAATCTGTCAAGAGGACAGGTTTGGATCCAACCGGTGGTTCTACGAGAGCTCGGAAAGCCTGGTTATTCAGACTCATCTTCCCCCGCGGTCACAAGTGATGCACAATGCAACAATTTCATGTTCACTTGATCTGCAGAAAACAGAAGCTTCCTCTACCAACCTACCAAGCTACAGACTTTACCACTACCTCCACCCACCTCATTGCAGCCTCCACACATTGATCCCAACACCAAGTCCAGTCCAGCCCCCGCTGGAGCTCTTTCACAGGCTGACCCAGACGGACCCACCAACAAGCCGCGCGCCCGCGACGGCGAGCCGCGCCGCAACGCGCCCGCGTGGCCTCGGAAGGCGCTGCGCCGGAACTTGAAGCCACAGGAGGTCACCAGGATCTCCGCGATGCTGCGGATCGCCGCCTCGCGGGCGAGCAATGGAGCGGTGGCCGGGCCATTGGAGCGGGTTGCGCCGGTGAAGGATGCGCTGGTGGGGTGGACGTGGTGGTTCCGTATTTGTTGCTGGTGCGGGCAGGTGTGACAATGGAGGCTCAGAGCCAGCGGAAACTAGGCCAAGCGACAAAGAAAAGCGCAAGCGTTTCATGACGGGGACTGGAGCTATATGATTCTTGCTCATCTGGATACCTCCAATACATACGAACATCTCTGTTGACTAATTAGAAGTTGACAGAACTGTCAGGCTGTCAGGCCTTCTCGAGCTGTTTGTCCAACTTTCCTTGGCGCCAAGGCGAGGGCGGATTCCTTCCTTCTGCAGTGGTGGTGGAGGGCTGCCGGGACCAAAAGGAGCCGCAGCTCTCAACAGGTCCAATTCCCCATGTTTGGGACAAACCACCAACCCCGAGACACCCAACACCAAGCGACCTGACCAACCCGCAGCTCGCTGGACAGAGACCTCTAGCATGTATACAGTATCAACCCCATTCATCCACACCCACAACAGCACCTCAGAGCAACACACACCACAAATTACCCTGAACCCCCCGCGAACTTCGCTTCATCACAGTACGCACCACCAATCACCACACCCTGCCACACTCAACAACAAGTTTCTCTCCAGCTTTCCCAACAACTTCTGGCGCAAGAGCTCGGGGCTCACCGACACCACCAGCTCGATGTCCTGCGGAACCGCTCGAGGCGGTTCGGTCGGAGCCGAAGGGACGAGGGGACGAGACGTCGACCGGGGCGACCGGGGCGACCGGTGAGGTACTTGGTGGCATCCTGGGTGTACCAACCAACAAGTGCCAACAAGTACCAACAAACAACAAACAAGTATATAGCTGGTTTTTCGAAGATGTGGACTCTTGATATCCCTGTTTGAGGTCACTTAAAGCCCTCTACTAGAGGGTCGCTTAGGAATACCTAGTTAGGGACTCCGCAAAGGTCCATTTGAAGACGCTGGGATGCGTCTTTTCGTGGGGAGACTGCATGATTCCTCAGGCAGACCCCCGTGACTTCGGAAGGACCATCAACCAAAACCCCAGTTAGCACAAACCAACAAGGAAAAATAAAATGTTCTTCATCAACCAAAACCCCAGTGACGTAGCACAAACAAACCAAAAACCTCCAAAACGAAACCACCAGCACCACCGAAGCCCCAAGCCGGACCCTCGAACCGACCGTCCGACCCTCGGACCCGGTGTCCGGCACGGCCACCCGGAAGGCACGGCTTCCTTCGAGCTCTCCACTCCTCCCGGAGAGAGGTGAGCGGGGAGGTGGAGAGGTGAGGGACCAAGCACTATAGGTGGAGCAGCCCCAAGATGTGAAGCTCCAGCGGTGTGGGACGTTGGGAGTTTCAGTTGGGAGTTGGGTGTGAATGTGAATGAACGGCACGACATCCACTCATGGACTCTAAAGATCTACAATTCCACCCGCTTGTGAAACTGCTTGTACCAGGGCCCCCTGTTTCTGGAATGTCTAAGAATAGCCCCTTAGAGGTGACTCGGAGTGTCCATGTCTACCACCCCAAGGTCCTAGAAAATCGGATCAGATCCCAAGTCTACATAAATTCACCACTTGAAAAAACACCAGGCCGGAGTCCGAACCTCCCGTCGTCCGAACCTCCCGTCGTCCGTTCGCTCCGGGAAACCCCCTCGTCGGTCGTTCGGGCGGCGGTTCGGGTCTGAGACGCCGCGCACGAAGCCGCAGACGTCGGACTCGGGGAAGAGCGGGCGGATCGCCTCGCGTACCTGGCGCTCCGTCCCCGCCGTCACGCGACGTCCGCCGATGCCGCCGGTGGCGGAGGTCGGAGGTCGGAGATCATCCGCAGGTCGAAGGGTGAAAAGGGGGTGTCACTGGTCACGAATTATGTGATAAACTGAGATATATAGGTGATAACTCATGACCGTCTATACTATACTACTAAAAAATATACCACCCCTTGATCTTCAGTTCGTGACCCAGACTGATACCCAGGCGGTTGAGGTCACTAAGCCTCTAACTTGAGGGGTCACGAACTGAAGAAGCCGGCCAATAACTGATTCATGCTGATCTGATCCATAACTCTTTTCCTTCCCAACTCTAAGGTCTCCGGTCTACAACATCTACACCTGCTGTCCAGTCCACCAAGTGGCTGAAGAGACATGCTACTACATCAGTCTCCCCAAAGACAGGAAGGCCCCAAGCACAGGGTACACCCTGGCCAGGCTCCGTCCCACTTTCCTGGTGATGTTCGAAAATCTCAAATAAAAGACATAAAGACTCTCCGGCCTGATCCCAACCACTTACCAGTACCAAGCGCATTCAGCTCTTCTTTTTGCATTGCGCACTTTGTCAGAGACACACACTCCACTTGGATGATTGGAGTGACAACCATCGGCCACGGCATGGCCGCAAATCAGCTGAACTGAAGGGTCTTCGGCAAAGCCACCACAGGAGTTCCAAGTGCAGGGGGGTGGCGATGGTCTCCACATCAACCGCTAGGACCGCTAGGAGCTTCCAAGATCAGTGTTTGGAGCCACAGGTGCTGAACCTGGGCACTGGACTTGGAAACACTTGGAAACGGCGAGCTTGGAAAGCTCAGGAATGTGAATGCTGTTGTTCTTTCATTGAAGTGTATACTCTGGCTCACGATTGGTGAATCTGCTCTCGTGGATGAGCAGGACGGGCCACTGCTAGCGTTCGCACCAGCTGGGGGTTCAAGAAGCCCAAGCAATCGACCTCGCGCTCGGCACGGGGCGTGCGAGAAGGAAGGGTTCTGATGGCTCAGGTTTACACCCCAAAACGGTTTCTTTTTCAGTGAAGATATCCTAGTCTTTGGGTGACCACGTGCTTCCTCGCGCGGGGCTTACTCGGGTGGTCCACAGGCTTACTCAATCTATTCACCTGCCAGGCACCCAGCAAGACCCAAACGAAGTGGATGTTGTCCAAGCACAGCCGGTAAAAAAGAGATGGTGTGTAGGGAGACACCCAATCGCCCCAATGGGTGACTGGTCGATGTTCCGAACCCCATGGGCTCGGGCGGTGCCTCGCCACGCCTGCGGCCTGCGGTTCAGTCGAGACCCATTTTCACACACACCCGTATGCCCTGTTGTTTTTGCTCTTCGAAGCTCCCACATGGTCTTTGGTGACCCCCTGAGCTTTCCAACTTTCAAGGTTCCATCTGGGAAAAGAGCTTTTGAACTTCTTCTAAGCAGCTGGACCAGCAGGCCTGTAGCAAAATCTGAACTGCTGTCGTCTGCGTCTCTTCGCTCGGTCTCAACTCTGGCCATCCAAAAAAGGAGCCGAGACGCGCCCGGTCTCCACTTCAACACCTTCCACCGGGCCGCGGCCCGCTCCTTCGCCCCGTTCGCCTCGTTCGCCTCGTCGCCGCGCTTCCGGTGGCCGTCCCGTGCAGGAGTGGCCTCCCGCGGGCGCGAGAAAGGCAGGCGTGCGTGCTGTGGTGGCTGGGTTAGGACCTCACCTTGGATGAAGCATGATGAAGCACAAAATGTTTGGAAGAAGCGTGGATTCTAAATGGCCAAGATGCTCCAACAAAACTTCTGCACCTTCCCTCGCCCCTGCTTCAGGTGAGGTGGATGACCAGTTTCAATCGTTTTGAAGGGATTGCGGTCAAGCAAACACCTGGGTGGGAATGACCATGTCCCCCATTGAACTGGCTTTGCACTCCTGTAGGGGACTCTTGAACATGCATGAACAAATTGCATGCACCTTGTGGAATTCTCGATTTTCTTTGAGAGATGACTGGGATTCCACTCAATCCATTCCCATTTGTCCAAATCTCGATGCTGGGACTGGTTGGGTGGCTTAAGAACGCTTTCATCAGACCTATTGAAGTGACCTTTCCTTTCCCCAACCTCAGTTCTTTTCACTCGGTCTTCTCCCAACCAAACTGACACCATGCCTAGGATCCAACCCCCCTGATTCCTCGCGAAGCACGCAGGACGAGCCACACAGTCCCGCACCCAGCGCATTCCGGGACCCCGTCCCGTCGGTCGGTCGCCTCAGTCGTAGAGTCGCATGGACTGCTCTTCGGTCCAGCTCAGCTGCACGGCGGAGGAGACGTAGGACGGCTGCTGGGCGTTGAAGGAGGTGAGGCACTTCACGTACCTCGACGCCGGTCGCTGTCGGCAGTTCGGTCGGCCCGAGGCGACGGGCTGCGGTCTTCACCTAGTCGGTGGAGTCACCTAGTCGGAAGACTCACAGTTGTTCGGTGGCGTCCCCCCGAAAGTCCGACAAAAGGCCCTAACCACATGTAGAGAGTCGGTGGGAAGTGGTGTTAACTAGAGAGACTTGCTTTCACTCAAAGCCACGGATCTCCTCCCCCAAGATCTGGAGAGCCATCCGTACACTGCGACCCTGGATGGTCCAAAGGGAGACGCAGCCTGGTCCTTTGGAGAGCAGGAAAACTGCAAGCTAAGGTTCAAGCCTCTTGGTTGGGTTCGCGCATCACTTGGAGGAACACCCATTTCGCCGATCCATGTTCTACAGTTCTTTTTTATTCCTTTTTGAGGATCACCACAAAAACTCTAAACATGGGTTGATGGATCACAGCAACGTCGCCTCCGACGGACCCCCCCAAAAAAAAAGGACCGCGAAGCAACCGTCGTCTGTCACGGAGACCTGAGGGCGGTCTATTCAGATAAGGGGGAGGGACCTCCCAGGCAAGGCCAGGCGACCCTTCCGACCAGACCACTGCAAGGTCCACCCCCGACCGTGGCGAGAGCGACCGGTGGCTGCGTGGAGCCGAACCTACAGTAAGTGACCTGAACGAACGGACCTGCCAGCTGGGGTATCTACCAACACCTGACCGTTCGTGATCGTGGCGGGTCGTGGTCGGTCACCGGGTTGGCCGTATGATTTCAGGTCCACATTTTGACCAATCCAGGTGTCAGAGGTCACGAGTGGTCACGGGTGGTCACGGGTGGTCACGGTCCACTGGGAGAGTCGATCAGGTTCTGAAAAACCTCTGTTGGAACCAAGGACTAAGGTTCAATATCTATAATGGAACATCCCACGTTCCACTAGTGTTTATCATGTTTTGAACATCCCATGTTCCACGGCCCAAGGTACTTCTCCATGATGAGCCAATCGCCCAAGCCTTGGACCGACTCACTCGGACTGACTCCACACGGGTTGCACTGGGCGGACCCTTTAAACGTTCGGTGCCCTCCAAGGCAAGGCATGGAGAAAGAGCCCATCCGCAGATCTCAGTGGAGGGCCAATCCGAGGGACCGTGATCATTCACATTGACCCGTGCAGGAAAAAAGGCTTGGCAATATCTATAATGCGTGCCAATGCACTTGAAAAAAGAATTGTGCCAAAACATGATTGCAATGGATCGTGGTTTGTATATAAATGCCGCCAGCTTATACATCTAAGATTTCCCAACATGTCCGACATGTCCAAAACATTATGATACAATGTGACACGTGGGTTTAAATTGCAGCTTATAAAACTTCCGGAGTCCATTCGCTAGATCAAAGCTGGGTGGCTAAAGGCAGACACCGGCGATTCCAAGAACTCATCCTTCTCCTACACGAAGAGACACGCAGAGACACGGAGAGACACGGTAGGCTGGTGGTGAAAGACTCACGAACCAGGGTGGAAAATCATGGAAATCATCCCAAGTCAAAATTGAAACTAACAAATCTCTGAAACCACCACCCTGAGGCAAAGCTTGCTTCTTGGAATTGCCCCCTTCTCTGGCTGGGGAAGAAGAGGGCCGACCCTCCTTCAAGTACCGGGACTCTGCAGGTGTTCAGGTGACTCGCGACTCGTGATCATTTAGCGAATCCAAAAATCTCGTTCTCTGCACCAAGCGGCGCGACACGAAATTCAAAAACTTCTGCCTTTTACCTTTTCATGTTGTCTCTCGTGGGCAGGACACCGGAGGGGTTATTCACGAACCGAACAAAAAATAGCGTATTCGCCTCAAGCATACATCTAAATAGTGAACGAATAGGATTTTTGTGATATCATCATTGATGCTATCAAAAGATGGTTGCCAAAAAGGGATCTGTTGCACTTCAGCTCTTTTCTGCCAGCCGGTTGTATATAATCATCGCTGTATAACCCCCACTGCCATACCTTCACTGAATGATATGAGGTTTCTTTGGAAAAGTATCTTAAAACTTCTTGGTGGTTCAAAAAAATATCACCCCACATGAGACCTCTGACCACACCCCCAAAGTCACAAGTACGACGCAGAGAGGCCCCGAAAGCCATCCGCGACGGACGCGACGCACTCAGCTCCTTGTTCCGCCCGGGACGGCTGATGTTGGCCACTGATCGAGTGGCCACCAAGACCTCCTGCTCCTGGTGCACGTGATACCTGGCGGCGCAGAGCGCGGGGCGCGCTGAGCGCGCAAGAGCGCGCCACGAAAAGGCCTGGCAGCTGGGGCCAAACCACCTTCAATCAAAGCGGTCAACTTTCCGAGGAAAAAATAAACAAGAAGTGAGTCAGATCCTATAGCCTAGAAGACATACACCTAGGAAGACATACAAACAAACCGCCCATCCGCCCGTCCCCGCCCGTCCACTGGAGCCACAACCCGGTCTGGAAGTGGCCTCTGGAGATAGTCGTGCAAGAGCGCAGCGTCCCTCGAGTGCGTGTGATTCTTCTTTTGGATCGGCAACGACATCTGCCTCAGCGGCAGCGGGCTGCGGACAAGATGTCGGCCAGCTCTTGGCTGTTGAAGAACTGCAGGTGACCGGCATTGTTTAGGGTCATGAACAAGACACGCCAGACATTCTGAAAGTGGATCCATTCCAGAACCTCTTGCAAAAAAGAGTTCTCCTGGTGTCCCTAAGTGTGCCCAACCCAAACTAAGAGTGCATGACAATGGTTATATAGCAGTAAAGTTTTTTCCTTGCGTGATCAAAAAAAACTAAGAGTGCATGACAATGGTTATATAGCAGTAAAGTTTTTTCCTTGCGTGATCAATCTCAGAAACATTGATAAGCTTGCTCCACCACCATTCTTAGCGGCTCTGAGCTCCCCCCTTCTTTTCAAGGCTTTTCATGCCAGACTCCTCCCGAAACCGCTGTGCTCTTCACTCTTCCAACTCTACTGAGACCTCGAAACCGTTCGTCCGGACAGCAGCACCGTACAGGTCGGGCTTTGGCCGAGGGGCCCACGGCGCTCCTGGCGGGAGATCCAACAGATGAGCTTCATGGCACCAATGCCCTTCAGCGACAGGTAGAGCGAATGGCCCTGGATCAAATCATCGTGCCTGAGGAGTGAGTGAGAGGAGATGAGGGAGACATGGAGAAACATCGGAAGGAGGAATGCGGAATGGAGTAGTGCAAAGAGGATAGGAGGAGAGGGGAAGATGGGTTGGATGAGTTGGATGAAATGGGTTGGATGAACTACTTGGATGGTGAGACGATGGGAAGTAGGCCATGGGATGACGGGAATGAGTCGGAGGAGCTGGATGACAGAACCTGGCGCGAAGCGGAGATGGGGCCAAGGGAGCATGTCTTCTTGGAGGTTCTCTGGGTGTTCTTCGTGGTTATGGTGGTTGAGGTGGGTGGATTGGCCTTGTTTTGGTGGGATGAGACTGATGGATGGGATGGATTGGACGTCTCTTTGGAACAGGGTGGAGCTGCTTCCATACACCCTGGTGAGAGATTACACTACAAACAGAAGAAGATCTCGATACTGCAAACAAAAACTTCTGTCCCAGGACCCGCCAGGTGGAAGCTAGTGATGCCCAGTTCGAGCGTTGATATCCAACAAACCACCTGGGTGTCCTTGGTTTCAAGTCAATTCCCAAGGTGCTGAGGAATCCAGTCGATGAGCACCTTCGGCCAGAAGCCAGCTGAGCTCCTTAGCCGCATGGCACCAAAAAAACAAAGCGCGTCCCAGTCAGTGGCGATCTGGAGCAAGTGAGAGAAACCAATGGAAAGAACGGGCGGTTCGGACTGAAAATCTTCAGCCACGCCACTCTTGATCCTTCCCCCCCTCAATGCCTTTCCCCTGTCACGCACCGGTCGCCGCGACCTGATCCGCCGAGGTGCTCCTGGTTCGCGGGCGTCGTGATCAACGAGGCCGTGAAGGACGGCGCGTCGGGCGGCAGCGTGGCGGTGATGACGTCGGCGGCGGCGCGGCCGTCGCAGGTGAAGGCCTCGGGCTCGTGGCTGGGAGAGCTCGTGGCTGGCGGGCTGGCCGGCTGGGTGCTGGAAGAGATCATGGTGGTGTAGCAGGAGGGGGAATGGAAGTGTAAATCAACTCTGCTTGGCTATAAATGAAGTCAACTGCAAGTTTTCAAGAGCAATCATGGGATTCACCACCATACACACTCTAGCCTAGCTGCTATTCCTTCCTATTCGCGGTGACTCCCAAAGTCGGAAAGACCCTGTTCTTCTATGGTTCTTGGGTGCGCATCGAGGTTCGTCCCATTTCTATAGACTGGCGGTTCCTCTTGCAACCACTGCACATCACTTATAGCTTCGCCACTTGGGGGGATCTCAATCAGTTTGGTTACTTCTTCACCACTTGCGATGGTCTCAATCAACTTGGTTCTTCACCACTTCAAGAGGGTATTCCCCTCCAATTAGCTATCCATCCAAGCAAAGTCTCGGCTGGAATCGAAACAACCCGCTCCCACCCCACCCACCTGCCCATCCTCCCCACCGCTCCTCCACTGTGAAGGTCACCCGCCGCGAGGGCCATAGGCCGCAGATCGTGGTGAAGCTCTGCCGGCCGAAGGCCCCTGAGGCTGAGGGCATCTGCACGCCACAGCGCCGCTTCCACACCCCCAGCTGGTCCTCGAAGTGGGGCAGCGAAGGCTCAGCGAACGGCCCGGAGGACGGGTGGGCGGGTGAGGAGGACGGGGCGGTGCGCAGCCGACGGGAGTGGAGGGTGTCCCAAAAAAGGGCGGCGCTTCAGGCCAGGCAGGGATGGAGCTTGAGAGTTTCATGAGAAGTTTGGTGCTTGAAAAGCAGTTCGCCATATCACGGAGGAGGGTTTGACAGGTCAGATAAGATTGGTTTTTGCAGCTCCCAACTTGTACACATCGAAGAAACTTCCCCTGGATTGTCAATCCCTCAGCTTGCTGTCCACTGCAACTCTATGAGACACCGTATCATGGTTAACAAAAAGCACTACCACCCTTCAACAGGTCTCCTGTAGGAGAGTGCATGATACATCCATGGTCCATAGAAATGAGAGACCAATAACAAACACAATTGCACGAATCCTACGGCAAATGACACACGGAAACCCACCGTGACACGCCACCCTGGGAGGAACCGCCTCGTACCCACTCTGAACCGCGTCCAACCTCCACAACTCGTCTACGCGCTAACTACGCGCGTTTTCGTGCGCGTGAAAACGCGCGTCGTGCGCGAAGGCGGGGTCGGTCTGCGGGCGTCCTCGCAGAACTGCTTCTTGGGTTCACCCTCGTACTGCATCCAGACCTCGGAGCACGTACCGCGAGAACGTAGGGAGGGCGCGCGAAAGCGCTTGGAGGGAGGGAGGGAGGGAGGGAGGGAGCGTTGTGTGGTGCAAAGCTGTGGAAGGCGATCTGATGGGGAGCGCGGTGTGGCTTTTTGTGGGGATGGGGAGACATCTGGTGGGGTGATAGGCTTGCTGCGCCAGTCGCTTTTCTTGTGATCTTCTGGCAAGGATCCCTGAAGCAAAGAAGATTGCATGCCACCCATTGCATTGGACGTTCTTGGGATCAACCTCACGACTTCCCCTGACCCTCCAAAAATATGCTTCGGAAGTTCAAAAGAACCGTCACCGTCCGCAGCTCATCTTCGCAAGCGGACGGAAGTCTCTCAGCTTCTCCCCCCCAAAGAAGCTCCACCCTCCCCTCTCGAACATGCTCATCTTCGCAAGCTGAAGAAGCACCGCTCATCTCCCACTCACCCACACCACCCAGCACCGCTCAGCAAGTCCCCGAAACACAAACAGCGACTCGCCCAGGCGACTCGGAAGTAGGCGTCCTCGGGCACCAGCTTGAGCTGCGGAAACGGATGAGACCAATGCAGGTCCACGCACACGGAGCCCTCCTGAAGCGAGCGATCAGGAGCGCGCAAGAGGGGCGCCTCTACTCCCAACCGAACGACATGGGTGTCGTCCCGACAAGACCTGCCGGGGGACCATCCGATGGTCGGAAAAAAACCCAACCAGACTCTCAACCAGATGCTCTTTGCCCCAGACGGTTCAAAACCGATAGGACGATCCCTTTCTCTCTTGAAGCCACCTACAGGGGAACCATGTCAAAGCTCCTTTCAAGCGGATCTGCTTTTCGATCTACTTGGAGTAGCTATAGGTGAGATTCATGCATCTCCAACGCACCTTGACCAGGCACATGTGAGTGCTTTTGCAACATGTCGTTGGGGTGTGGAACACCAGCACGAACCGATGCATGGCATTGGAGTGCCTGAAAGATCCTGCAAGTGTCATATCGACATCGATTCGTTTCAAGCTTCCACTCCCCCCACCCGAAACCCACCAACCTCAACAAAAAGGCCCCATCCCTCCCCATCCATCCGGATGAAACGAAAACGACCGAACCACCATCTCCCGACCCCTCACGTGCTCCGCCCTCTCCCGACCTCCGTGCTCCGCCCCCGCCTCTGACCCTCGACCCTCGGGTTTCGGCTCGCCGCTCGTCTCGCTGGCTCCTCGTTCTTCACGTTCGTGCGCGGATCCGTGCGGTGCAGCTGCACCTCGTAGGGCGCCGCCGGGTGCAGCTTCTTCGGCAGCGTCACCTGGCAGTGAAGCACCGGGGGGTGCTAAGAGCCCGGGTCGTTGGTCTCATGAAGATTGGTGATTGGAAGACTTTGGGGCAAGGCCAGTCAGAAGTTGGAGCCATACACCTGAACTCCCTCTGCTGCTCGGCGGCCTCTGGCTCGGAGGAACAGCTGAAGGCTGAACCTTCAAAGGCTGCATCCTCCTCACAGGCCGATTGCTGCTGCCAGCACTGATCACAGCTCCGGACTGGACTCGTTCGAGAATGGTCGAGCCACGAAAGAAAAGAAAACGACTGAAACTGGACGCGGAGACCAATTGAGTGAAGTGGTAGCTGTCTCTTGTGTGCATCTTAAGGAACCACCCAAAAATATAGACGTTTTTGTGCTCTACTGAAGTCAAGGATTTTTCTAGGCTCGGGTCCCCTAGTCTCAGACCCATTCTTTGAATAGTCGACCGGACTTCCAGGGCATCTAGACTACAACTCCCCTTCGTTTCACCTCCGTCCTCCCCTCCTCACTGTGGACGCTCCTCGTCGGCCAGCTTCACCTCGAAGGCCTTGTGCGTGGGGATGTGCCGCATCAAGGTGCGGTAGCGGCGCACCTGGCGCAGCCCCCGGTCGCGCGCTCCGCGCGGCTCGCCGCGGGCAGGTCCAGAGAGTCCAGTGCCCTGGTCCCCACACGGATCCAGAGCAAGTTTTGGGAGTGGATGGAGAATAGTGACATTTCTCAAGTGCTGATGAGTGGGACACCGAATTGAGTGTAGGTCTTGGTACGGCCTTGATCTGGGTCCCTCTCCAGACCCAAAGAGCTGTTACACCGTTCTGTTTGGGGGACTCCCTCAGTGTCCGTATTCCGAATCGAATGTGATTCCGATTCACCTGTGTGGGTTACTTCACCAAGTCTAGGGATAACAAAGCATCTCACTGGCAGTTCTAGGGTCATCCTGGAGTAGATAGAATATGAGGAAATCCAAACAAAATCCAGGAAACAGGAAGCTGGTCATGCTTTTGGATCGGTTCATATTCTATCTGCTCCAGGATGTTTGTCTCATTACAGTAAAGAGAAGACGCGCCTCTTCAATGCCCACCCACCCTCGTCCTCTGGGTCGCCACCCATGAAGTCCCATACTTCACATCACCCTCACCTTGAGCTCCGGTGGCAACTTTCCTTTCAGCTCTGCCATCTCCGGGCCTCAGGCACCGCAGGATCGGCTGCTTAAACAGGTTCCACATCACCCTCCACAGGTTCCAGATGGATTTCTTAGTGCATGTGCTGAAACCACCAACAGCCAACATTGTATCTATCAGGTTCTAGATGCTCCCCCCGCTCCGAGCTGCTCTCGCCCTCGAGCTCCAAGGGGTGTAATCCTTCGCCCCACTCCGCGGTGAAGTCGGCGTCCCGCGCCACCCGACCGTACAGGTAGACCACCTGAGAGGAGTGGACGGCTCGGCGCAGGCGTGGAGGTGACGGGTCGGGGGGAGATGCAGCTGGTTGGTTGTGGCAGGGCGGAGGTTTCAAGAGGAATCAGGAGTTGTCGTTTCTCCGGAGGGATTGGTCACAAGAAGGAGATGACAACGACGGTCAACAGCACCCCTCTCCGCCCAGATCACTCAAACCTCCCCCCACCCCACCACCAGCCATCCACCAACTCGCCCAGACACCGGCATCTGCTGGGAGGCATAGAGGAACTCCACCGCCGCACAGGTGCCGCTGATGTCGGTGATCTTCGGGTTCCCCACGAAGCGGCCTCCAGGATCACCAGCCGCCCCCAGCCGTGCTCCCGGAAGAACCCCTCCGGTCGTGCGTTGATCGTTAAAGGGTGTCTTAACCGTATGAATCCACCGAACGGACCGGAAGCTGCTGGCATCTGTCGGAAGATTTGGCCAAGTGGCTGGGATTCTTTGCAATGGGGAGTCTAATTGTGCACAACTTCTGCGAAGATCTAATCTTCCTCGAGAACCTCTGTGGAAACAGGCTCTGTTCAAATGGCCCTTGGCCAACTTGATCGTAGCCATACCCTCCCACCCAAAGAAACATAAAGAAACAGAAGGACCTGCCCAGAAAGGACCCCATGATGCCCCAAGCAGCCCAACAACCAAGCATCAGAACCACCCAAAACTGACCCGGTCAACGAGGGTCCAGACCGTGACCCACCGAGGCACTGTCCGGATGCAACTCATTGCAGCTTCCCAGCGACTGCTGCAAGGCCTGAAGCTCCTTACAGGTCGCATCGCCTGGGTCTGGTGAGAAGACACCAACCCGCCACCGCTGAAAACGGGGGGGGGGGCGAGACGAGGGCCGTCTACGGGTCGTCTACGTGGTGATTTCACCGGGGGTGGCACCGAACATGAACCCCTTGGTCACAAATCACTTGGCAAATAGAGTGAAGAGAAGAGGATAGACCTATCCTTTAAAAAGGGTCATGTATATATACTGTCGTGCAGGACTTCTACCCTCAACAGGACATAGGTCACGTGAAAAAGCAGAACGTGGAATCGGGTCCTCGGAAGATTGGAAAGGGGTATGATCTTCCGAGGGCCAAAGGGGCGGGATTCTGTAGATTCCTGGAACGCGCGCACGCAGAATATGGTCGACGCGAACCTTCAGACTCACATGACTCAACGTGTAGGGAGGCGATGGGACCTATTTGCACGCAGCTTTTGTTCGACCGGCAACCCTCCTCGACTGTTATCATCAGATCTTAAACCTATGGACTCTTAGGCTCTTAGGCCATATGCCGAAAAAGAGACTTGGAGGAAGGGAGCTCAAGTCCCCAGTCCGCCTGCCACCCCCCTTATGTTACGCTGCTTGCCCCCCGGCCTTTCTCACAAAGTCCCTTCTGCTGGCCACAGCCCTGCAGCAGCAGCGACAGCACCAGCCCGAGCGCGCTCAGGCGGCCAGCCAGTGCCGGTGTCGCGTGACGAGGCGGCGGGTCGTTCAAGGCCATGGCGCGTGACGTCACGTTGTCGGCGCGTCACACGGGGACAGCCTGGCTGTCCCGGTGGAAGTTGTGGAGAAAGGGTTTGGCCTTTCGATGCATGAACCAGGAGCTGCACCATACAAATGGATGAATCTTCGAGTGGTGGATGTCAAGGCTATAGAGGAGGTATAAGTTTCAAACATGAATGTAGATTGCACTACACCATGGAGGTAAAACTTGTAAAGAGCTGAATTTCGTGCATGCCACCCTCCACAGCTTACGAAGAGATGAAACTCTCGGCGGGCCCATCCTTGGCAGGTCCCTGTTTCTATAGCTTCGTCCTGGAAACCCACTCAACCAGCAGAAACAAATGGTTATATGGCGCCAGCCTGAGATGCTTTACATAGGAAGTGGCTGGGGCTGGGACTGTCCAGCACTGTTACTGGTTGGCATTGGGTTTCCAGGCTGTGATCAAGAAGTTGCTTGATCCTTGAGTCTCAGTTCGTACATCGGAAAAGAGGTCCAGTCGTACCTGTTTTCATAGGGTCATGTCCCATTTTTTAGGGTACTTGAAGTCGGGTCAAGGATGTTTGCCCAACTCCCTACTATACTCTTATGTCCGAGCCAGACAGCCCTGCAGCCCTGCAGCCGCATCCACAGCGTCCTGTCCAAATCCCAGGCAGCTGGCGGATCATAAGACGTCAACAGGGATGTCATCAATGTTATCAACTGAAACCCGGAATCGTCCCTTTTCGATCCCTGTCGGGGATCCTGAGCACACGACTCCTGCGTGCGAAAAAAAACCAACAGCTAGGCAGAAGCCACGTCCAAAAAGGCCTCCCAAACCACCCAAAGGACCCAACGAAAGAACCTCACCCACGTCGAAGCTGCGCATTCGCCCCACGCATTCACCGCATACGCTCCGAACCGCCGAAGCGGCGGCGCGGCGCTCGGCGCGGGCGGTAGGGCGGGGCGCACCGTCTCCACGATGCGGGCGACGGCGCGCTCCGCCTCGGCGCCGGGGGTGATCTGGGCCAACAGGAGCTGCACGTCGGCCTGGTGCGCGCGCGCGCGCGTGGGGCGCGAATGGGGACGGATGCCAGAAGGATGCGGAAGGAGTCGCGGGACCGCGGCAGGTTGAGCAGATGGGGTGGTGGAACGAAAGATCCAAATGGGGTCACTGGGTGAAACCCTTCAATCCCTTGATGGTTTGATGGTGATGGTGGGTTAGAGCCCAGATGCTGATGGTTAGTTGCCTGTGGATCGGTTGCGGTAACAAGAGTGGATTGACATCAACCGATCCAGGATCCTGCTGTCAAGAAATTCGGTAGCACCTTGCAAGAACCAAAACTCCTACAGTACACTCCCTGAAAATGATCCCCTACAGGTCAATGACCTTGTCTTACCAGAGTTGATCATACAAAAGCACACAAAACCACTACTCAAGGAGGTCTTGAGTCTTCAGGACGAGGTTTCACTGGGTCGGACTGGACTTGGTGGATCATGATTGCGTGGGGGTTCATCACCTCTTTGGTCGGCGGAACATGGACCATCCTCCCAGTGGTTGGGGGGCCATCCCATCCCCTCCCATCCACGAGGTCACTCGTCATGCATTGATTTCCAGGGAGAGTCTATGAGTCTACGGATACCTGGACCCTCCAAGGGGTGTCTAATGGACTACCCCACACTACCTATAGGGTCCTGGTATGGTTGATCCAACTCAGGAACTCAGGTGGTCTCAGGAGTTCTTCCTCCCAAATCCGGCGATCTGCTCCGGGAGACCGCCGGATACACCCGTGCCTCCCAGCAAACGCCCGGCAGGCGTGGGGGCCAAGCCTGGGCTGGTGTAACTGGAGCTGAGGACGGGCGTGATCGGCTCCTTCAGGCGTAGCCCGGAAACGGGACATCCAGATAGAGGGTGGAATGGACATCCATTAAAACTCTAAGGAGCTATGATTAGACACCCCTTAGGGGGCCTGGTAGTTATTGATGCCCAAAAGACATGCTTAGAAAGGGCACCTACAATCACCTACATTCAAGGGGCGGAACCACCATGTCACCACAATACCAGTCACTGGCACATCCGTCTCTATGGTACTCATATTTCTGCGCTTGCTGGCCCTTCGATGCGGCACACCACCTTGCTCCCAGGGTCATAGTAGAGTGAATTAACTTCTAGATCCTATAGTCAGATGCCAGTCAGGCTTGGCATCCTCTCCATTGAAAAAAACACTTGGAGTTGGGGCCCTCAAAACGACCCAAAAACCCACTCACACTCCCGCCTTCATGGACCGTGGAGCTTTGCGGGCCCCTTTGCCCTGCGGCATGCGACCGAACATTGGACTCAGGCAGGGAATTCAAAGCACTGACGGGGGTGGGTCTTGCGAGGTGTGTCCCACGTGCTTTGGTTCAACGGCCCAAGGACCGACGTATCATCACAGGAAAAGGATCCGAAGAGGAACCTCTGATCCTTGGGAGCTTGGCCTGAGGAGGGGGGGGGACTGGCCCAGAGAGGAGCGGACAAGGGTGGATTCGCTAAGCACGTGAGGAAAAACCATCCCCCAAAAAAAACACCTGGCACAAGTTCGGGCACTTGGTCGCGAATGTCCGTGGAATTTCCGACTCATCTGGCATGGAGCTAGCTAAGCAAGACAGCTGGAGTTCCGCCCTTACCACTTCCGTAAAAAGGCTCAGCCCTTGTCATCCTAGTTGAAAAAACGTGGACCTGTCCCCGCACCACGGAAAGGGTGTCCATTAGCCCCTTACAGGTAAAGGGGTGTCCACCAAGCACCTGTTGGGGTTTCAGGTCCTGCTTGTTGAATAATCCTTGTTTCATCTACACCGAAAGCTTCAAGAAGCTCGCACCCCGACGGGTCGCTCGCCCAACGCCGCATGGGCAAGCCCTGGATCGGTGGTCGAGCCCCGACGCATGGATCGTCATGGGTTCCTTGACCTCTCAGTTGTTCCGGAGAGTCTTTCAAGCAACACATACCATGCCCAGGCTGGGCAGCTCCAACTTCTTTTGGGCACATACTCCAACAGTCCGAGCTACAGTGCCAGCTACATCTGTCCCAGCTACGTCCTCTTGGTGTCACCCCGAATGGTGTCACCCATGGGGTCCGGCACGGTCGGCACGGTCGGTAGCTGTTTCCACCCGTCCTTCGACTTCTTGGAGCTCATCGGCCACCAATCCTCGTGCTCCTCGGGTGAACCGCTCGAAGAGTTCCGGTGTGGGTGACCCACCCAGGGAGACAGTCGGGTCGGGCGCGGTGGGACATGAATCGATTGACACCGAAGATGAACATGGAACCTGGTATGGACCAGGCTGGAAGACGACTTTCCGAAGACCAACCCGGTTTTCAGGTTCCACGTGGGTCTCTTCCAGAGTGTAATGGATGGTCCAACGTGGTGACGGGGTTGGAGGTGGGAACTGGTTGGAGAGAGGGCACGGAAAGGAAGGCCCTGTCGGCCTGATCATAGAAGTGAACGTGCTGGCCCCTTGGAAGAGGAGCTTTCTTCCGAGGGCTTCTTGTCCAAGAGTCGTTCCTGGTCACCACTGCAACAGCGGATGAAGATGGTCAACACCAACCATTCTACAAAGAGTGATACTCTTTCAGCGATTGGACAAACCCAAGCTGTAGCCTCAAAAACACACCTTGAGCTCAAAAACAGATGATACGGGAGACTTACTCCAGCGGCTACTGAAAACACGTCGGATTCATCTGGATTCCCCTCGGAAAGATCGGGGCGAGCGTAGTGGGTTCTTGTGCCATGGGACTCGCCACGGGCTGAGCCAAAGGGATGAGCCAAAGAGATGAGCTTCGATCAGACCAGCTTGGTTGGTGCTTCGTGCAACCAAAAAAAAAGAAGGTGGGTAAGATGGTGATGCATCAGTTTATATACATCGATACACAATGACTGTAAACAGATCAGATCTATATAGCTTGAAGATACTCGAAGCCTTTCTGAAATTTGTAAATTCCTTCCACAGCGCCAGTAGTAGCGCCAGTATACCGATCTTTCATGTGCCATAGAATAGAAGCCCATGAAAGGAGCCAGTCCAACCATCTCCGAGCATCTGAGGCGTGCTGGATGAAGGTATAGATACAAGCCCCTGGAGCCCCGGAGGCTTCGGACAGAGGTCCAAAGACATCAAGGTGGACAGATCCAGTGGCTACAGCAGACAAAGGAACGGCTGGAATGCATGGTCAGCAACCACTCGAGTCACCTTCAGTCTTCACAACCCCCTCCAACCACGTGTGAAGAAACCCCTCCCAACCATCACAACTCAACACACACGGTGAAAGCGGTCCCTGGCGGCGCTCCGGACGCCTGTGACCGCGAAGGCCAGTTGCGTGAAGTCCAAGGGCAGAAACAGCAGCGCCGTGACCTGGGTCGTCCGGGTCACTGGGGTACCAAATGGAGATGAAGATCCCAAACAGGGATGACCGGAAATGAGGGATGATGGGGGAACCCAAACATGTAAGTCTGTCCAAACCTGTAAAGTGTGTGCTTTTTCCTATCTTCTGACCAGACTGGGCCGCCCGCGCTTCTCCAACCATTGGCCTTTTGGCTCCGTCCTGCTCCACCCTTCACCGGGTCCAAAACCCCGAACAAACTGGGTCTCCCGGCCACCACGAGCAGGCGCACGGTTCGGTCGCTGGCCATGATATGAAGTGTCGCCTCGGCAGCTCCGGACCCAGCACGGGGGGTCCAGGTCGCCCAGCCCGGGTGAAAGCCTTGCCGGCGCGGAGTTCGGGGCGGCTGAGCGCCGGAGTTCTCAGCACCGGCGTAGCACCGGCGGGAGAAAGGTATGGTTCGTTCCGTGAACTCTCGCCTGACCGCAGGGAGATGTGAAATCCCAAGAGGTTAAGGTAAGGCACCTAAGGTGTTCCCAGGAGTGTTTCCTCATCGCTTCAGGGATCTTCCAACCGAAAAAGATCAAGCACCCCTACTCCCCGCGCGCGCTGCACTGCGGAGCGACATGGTTGCGCAGCTGCCGCTGCAACGCGGCCACCGCCATGGAGAACGAACCTCACCGGTGCGCTTTGCGCGCGAAACGGAGGGATGGAGCGCGCGAAACGGGGTGGTGTGCCCGCTGTGCCCCGCGGCAAACAAAAGTGTTTTGTATAGGTACATAAACTGGGACTGTATAAACTAATAGATGAACTATTTATATATACCTTTTAGAAAAAGATAGAATCCAACAAAATAACGTTTAAAAAAACAAACAAACACGTCCATGCTGTTAGACAGGGGTGCAAGCTGTTACAATGGAAGCTGCTATGGACAACAAAGCTTTCCCAAAGTAAAGGTGAGTGGATCCTCACAGGAGATGGGCAGATGAAACCCTCTCCAGCCAGCGCTGTAAACATCCACCAAAAGAGGAACACCACTGGACACAACATACCCATGCTCCAATCTTCCTCACCGACAGAACTCGCAACTCAACATCTCCTGGCCGGTACCAAGCAACCAGTTGAGTTGAAGACAAAGAGATTCTCACCATCCACCAATCAGGGCATGTGTGAGTTCGAAGCTGATCATTCCCATCTGTCCTTCACTCCCATCAGTCCACCTGTTTTGGAGGCTTCCACATGGCGACTCGTGGAAAAAGATGAATGGCTTCGACATGTCAAAAGCCCGGTCAAAGCCGAGTTCCATCGAAATCCCATGCAACGTTATCCCCTCCGCCCCTCAATCTTCCCAGCAACGTGTCTGCATTTTGTAGAAAGAACGAAGCACTCACACTTTCCTCGTGGAGGGGAAGGGTCGGGGGCAGAGTGTCTCGGGGGTTCGGGTCCGGCTCTAAGGGTTGGAGCTCATGGTACCAGCCAGGCTCAACGAGACATTTCTAGCCGCTGGCCATCCACACCGCAAAAGTACTCAGCGGGTGGGGCACCGTTGATGTGGGAAGTGACGTAAGAACTTCTTCAGTACCCTGGCTAGTTCACTGCTACAGGTACGGTCGCATTGACCCAGGTGATGTGGCATCGCACTTTGGAGGAAGCACTTGCTTAAACCACGAACCACCGAGCAAAACAGTGAAAAAGCAGTCGCGTCGCATTGGCCGGTCCTCCCGTCCCGATTCAGAAGGCGTTCTACAACGGAGGATAGGGTGGTAGCCGAAATGGCTACATCCTCGAAAAACGCCGAAAGTCAAACACGGCACCAAAATTAAGACTTAAAACCGAAGTTGACATGTTCTTCGCTGATGCACACGCCACGTCTGGCCACCACAGTGGCGTGGTTGGTCACAGTTGTTTTTTCATTCCATGAAGCATTCCAGCGCAGCGTTGAAGGTTTGCTGGAGATTTTGGGATGAAAAATATGTAGCTTGAATAAAGGTGCTGGAGCTTGGCTTGGCTGGTGAAGTTGGCTGTGATGCGTCTATACCATCATGCTGAGTTTCCTCTCAACAGAAGTCCCCAGCACCCAAACACCAAAGGTTCAAGTTGCCTTGTAGTGAAAAGGACAAGTAATGTATACTGTATACTGTTTATTTAAAAGCATAATTTAGGATTGTAAAACCTCTTCAGATTCATTTGTTTTCATACAGGCATTGAAATATCATCAACCGTCTGCATTGAGCGTGGGTCTTGTTACCTCTGCGTTCCTCAATAGAACCCTGAATACAGTAATTCAGCGGAAAAATCTCTGAGCAATCCCTTCAATCTGTACAACGAAGCCGCCACGCACCTATGTCATACCCCATGACGCTTCAGCCAGGGCATGTGCCACATGGGAGTTCTGTCATATCAAATCGAGAAAACCAGGGGACGAACGGGTGATTGTTTTTTCGACTAAATGAAACCTGCCAACGGCTCATGAAGCTGCCCAGAATCTTGACAACCAACAGAACATCCTTCCAAAAAGATCAGAAGACACTGCAATTACTATCGTACCAGGGGGAGGGGGAGTATCTTTAAGTATGTATATGTCTGTATATATGCACCCAGAAACCATTTGACCTCGATTTTAATAGGAAAAGACATAAAAGACCATGTGTTGGCTCCAAAAACAGGGGTCACATGAGTTCCATATATCTTTATAAGGATCTGGAACATGAAGCTGTTGACACTATCCATGTCATTCAGATCCCTCGGTGCAATGGCCCAACGACGAGCTCAGCTGGCCTCTTGGAGGCCAGTGAACGTCGAGGTCGGACGCTCAACGACGCGCACGACCGGCGCTCAATTCCGCCCCCGGCTCAGCGAGGTTCCTGGCGAAGGCGTGAAGGGGTCGAAAGGGCCAACCCAACTGGAAGGGCCATTGAAATACACTTCTTAGAAACTATCCATGAAAGTATGAATCAAAATGGTCCCAAAAGGACCTTTTTCCACAAACAGGTGCTTTTCATCTTCCACTTCTCATGATTTTCTTTCGTTCGGAGTGACCTCCCCAGCTCCGCAGCGACGCCCTCCACGGCCGAAGAAGCACCTCTTGGCCCAAGTGATAGGCCCTCCCGGCATAGGGCGTGAAGCCTGGAGCACCGGTGGCGCACCGGAGGACCGGTGCCAGTGTAGCCAAATGAAGGACGAAGGTCCATGAACCGTCGAAAGCAATGGTCAAGTGAAACTAGGGGGATGGCTTCACAAAAAGTGAGTTCGGGCGTGTGTTTCTTCGAGGGCGCAGGCTTGGATTTCTGGGCGCAGGCTTGGCTCTGGCTTTCTAGAGATTGAACTCACTCAGCGGTTCGGGCTTCAAGGCGGGCCAGCCCCAAGAGAGAAGGTTCTTGAGAACCACACAGCTTGTCCCGAACCAGGAGTTCAAAAGAGAAGGCGGTGTTCAATCAAAGGTTTTCCAGAGACATGTTTTCGGCTTTCGATACCACCTGACCTATTCCCAATTGAAAGGAACCCAAAAGGGAGTGGAGGCTTCCAAAGGAATGCTCCAACAATACGAGCCACCAAGTCACAGCCACCCCCCCGCAACGACCTGGCCTACCGGCTCGTGTGCCGCGGCTCCCTGCACGTGTTTCTCTGCACGCAAAGAAGCGCGCAGCATGCGCAGCGTTCGGAGAACCAGCAGTTTCAGTGGAATCTCACTCTTGTCCACAGCTCTCAACAAATGGCTTGCAGGGATAGGATGCTGGGGATTTTTGGTTCCAAAAGCACAGGTCCAACTAAAGTCAAAACATGTGCTGGGGTGGAATCCACATGTTTTGGGGTAACTTATTATATCGACGGCCGCACCCCAGTCGACCGCCTGAGATCTTGGCAGCTGCGGCAGGTCCACGTTGAGCAGCGCGGTCTCCCACAGTGCCTCGCGCTGGTCCCGGTCTCCACGCGCGGCTCAACCCGCGCGGCAAAACTACTCCGGTCGCAGCGGGAGGATACGGCGGGGGGTGGGCTCTTTTTCACCTGGGACCAGGGTTGGCGAAAGACCTCCCAGGCAGGTCCCTGGCTTTGACCCACAGCCGCGTCTAAACTGAAGTGGAGGTTGAATGAGAGGCTTCTTTCTCTGCGACGTGTCCCACACCATCTCTGATGAAACCCCAAGTCCCCCAAATCCCGCTTCTGATGAAACCCCTCCAAGGGTAGCGCTCCGCCGGCCTGTCGCATGGATTTGGCCATCTTCCACGCCACTCGCGCACAAAGGAGCTGGAGGACCTCGATCACATCGGCAGCACCAGGTGTCCATTCGGCTTGACTCGGAACTGACATCGGAACTGCGCATGAATCGACTTGGATGTGCAGCTCCCAGGAACGGGGAAAAGATAAACAAATATTCATTCTACCAGTTTGGGGGATTCACCCATTAGGGCAAACAAGACATCACCTAAGCAAAACCCGGATCAACTGCAACCATCAACGGAAAACGACATCAATCCAGAACACAGCATTGTGTCCAGGCATTTCCATCAACCAACAGTGACCAAGTGCCGGGAAGAAAACAGTGTCAATCTCAATCCTCAACTGCGTCTTCCCGCTATCTGCCAAGATGGTGTTTCTTGTCACATCTTCTTACAAAATCATGCAACATTGGGGCAAGTGAAGATGTATCTGTATGCGTGCTAGGAATGGAATTCACCCACTGCATCAGCATCTGCCAGAAATCTGAATGTAACACCTACTACACAACCACAGTCCTCCTGGGCCACCAGTCCCCTTAAAAGGAATGCATCCCTTGAGCTTCCCCCCCCCTTCACATGGCATCCCCCTACAACCTGGTGCCTTCTTCCTAAACCCCAAAACTCAAAACCATGTTCTATTCTTTTGGTCACCCCAAACTCGTCGACGACGATGCTCTTTTCGGGCTCCCAGACGACGCTGCTGCAAATGGCAAGGTGGCCCACCACCGTGTAGGCACTACACCTGGGTGACCGGCAGAACTGGCAGAACCGGTGCTGACTCGATGGTGACTCGGTGCTGAGCCGCCCGGGCTTGGTGCGGTGCTTTTTTCACACCAAGCCAATAAGTGACATCACCTGTTTACTCTCAGAAGCCCTGTAGCACCTGAACACACCTTTGGAAGACATCACTGACCCGATCTCCACCTGACCCACCTGACGCCTTTGCACCAACCAGCCAGCGCCCCGCGAGCGTCCGCTGGGCGCTGCGGTGTCCGCTGGCGCTGTGTGTCACAGCGGCTCGCAGAGCGTCCAGCTGGGGCCCCGAGCAAGTTCACGTAGTGAGACTTGGTCGGGTGCTGCGGATCTGCGACCATGCACTCCTGCCGCCACCGATGGGGCTCGAAGGGGCTCGATCGGGGCGCCGCAAATAACGAACGGCATGGCGAACGATGCACGGGTGCAAAAGAAGGTCTTATAGTAGAGAGTTCCTGGTACCCTAGGGCTCCAACCATATCCTCAGGAGGTGGCTACCCCCCCCGAGCCCACCCTAACCATCTTGTCGGGAGGTAGTTGGAGCCCTAGGGGTAAAACACAGTGGTGTCCACTAGCATCAACTTCTCGGTACCCGAATTGAGTCAATTCGAATGGCCATGTCCATGGAAGGAGTCCTAGACGGGACCACCACCCCACTTCTCGACATGGCAATCGTTGGATCCTTTTGATGGGGGCACATGCACACATGCTGGCTGCAAGCCTCGGACCATGTACAAAATAGAGATAGCTTGCAGAGATTCAGCAGATGGAGACCTTGAAAAAATGAATGATCCAGGCAAGAGACCCCAAAAAACCACGTTCAGTAGACCCAGCCTTACCTTTTCGCGACTGTCGAGCCAGAGCCACAGGCTCGTACCCCCCGGGACCTATCTTCCACTTCCTAGTGGGTCAGACGGTCAGAGTGTAACACTTACCTTAAGAACCCCCAGTGTGTCCACACCGTTTTGGGAGGAGGATCCCTCCTTCTTGGTATAGACTCTGCTGGTACTGTAGGCGTTCCGAAACGACCCCCCCAAACAACCGACACGGTGCATCCGAGACCTGGCGAAGTCGAAGCTTATGAGTTGAAAAAATGTGACCTGCCATGTAGACCAAACAATTCGCTCAGTTAGAACCACATCGGGATTCGAGAAAACCCTTTCGCCCTTCGAGAAGCCGTACCTGTCGCCCAACCCTCCGAGTTCGCGGACCGTCTTGAAGAAGTTGGAGGGCCCCGGCGGCTTGGACAAAAGCCCCAGCAACATCACCACCTCCGAAACCGACGCCGAACTCGGCTCGGACGGAGCGCGGAGCGCGCGGCACGTGGCGGTGGAACCGGAGGGAGCCGGGCGGGCGGAGCAGCGGGCGTTCGCCGTTGGACTGGACCGTCGGGAGC